CTGCAGAGAGGATCATGGGACATCCCAGGAGAATTCCTTGATTCTTTGTCTGTCTCCTAAATTGGATATGCCATTCCAATAAAATTTAAAATGAAGCTTCAAAGGGATCAAGCTGATTTGCAAGCAGTTTGAGTACCACTCCCTATAGAACTCAGAATGTAACAATGTAATATCAAAATGCCTAGAAACAAATGAAAATTGACTAAAACTATGGAGAACAATATTGGTGTGGGAGGTCCTTCTTTCTATGTGTTGCTTGTATTGGCTAATGAAGAAAGAAACTGCCTTGGTCTGATAGGGCAGAACTTAGGTAGGCAGGGAAGATGGAACTGAATTCTGGGAGGAAGAAAGCAGAGTGAGAGAGATCCCATGGATCCTCAGCCTGAGACGGACACTGGTTAGAGCTTTACCCAGTAAGCCACTACCAGATTAATAGAAATTAATTAAGTTAAACTAAGATGTAAAAATTAGCCAATAAGAAACTAGAGCTAATGGGCCAATCAGTGACATAATTAATACAGTTTCTGTGTGGTTATTTTGGGACTAAGCTAGCAGGGCAGCTAGGACAAACAAACAGTCCGCCCCCTGCAACACAATGCCACTGTAATAACATGAAAACTGGGTGAATACAAACTGGAGTAATTAAATAGGGAGCCAAGGCTTATAAAACAGGCATTATATATGTTTGTAAAATTGAAAAGGAAAAAAATATATATGTGAAACAGGAAATTTTAAAGGCAAATCAAACACTTTGAACCAATTAATAAAAATTAGAAATTACGAAATCACTGTAATTCATCAGATGAGCTTTTTAACACATCAAACTTTAAAATATAAAAATACTGAAAGTAAAAATATAACTATAAAATAGTTCAATGTAAATTCTAAAATTAAAAAAGCAAAGTTTATGTGGATGTGCACACATGTGTGCATGTATTTGTGTGTATGCATGTAGGTACATGTATTTGTGTGTGTGTGCATGTATGTGGAAGCTAGAGTATAACCTTGGTTGTCCCTAAAGAAGTACCATCCACCTATATTTATCTCTCTCTCTCCCTCTGGCTAAAGCTCTCATTGGCCTGGAACTTGTCAATTGTGTTAGACCAGTTGGCCAGAGAGTACCAAGAATCCAGTTGTTTCTGCCTCTCCAGTGCTGGGATCACAAGTGTAAGGCACCCAACCTGGATTTTGAATGTGGTTTCTGGGGACAGAACTTTGGTCACTGTTCTTGTAAAGCAAGAACTTTGCTCACTGAGCTGCCTTCCCAGCACAGACCAAGGTTTTAAAAAGTAGTCAAGCCTCAACAACTTGTGGTCTAAGTTAAAACATTCCCATGCACAGACATTTGGGATTCCATGACTAGAGAATGGGTGAAAGTCCAAGTTTTGAGAAAAATGAAGATGACTAATCATTTTACATTAAAAATACAATCTAGAAAATGAGACATCATTAAAGTGCCCAATATTCCAAAAGTTCACAACTCTGTACAAAGAAAATAGATCCAGAAAGGTGAAAGTGGAAGAATATGATGATGTAACTTCCTGTCGGTAGATACTCCTGTATGGTAAGACTAGAACAGTCTAAAATCTGCCTGTTTCTGCGACCCTTTAATACAGTTCTGCATGCTGTGGTGACCCCAACCAGAAGATCATTTTGTTACTACTTCATAATTTTGCTCCTGTTATGATTTGTAATGTAAATATCTGATAGGCAGGATATCTGATATGCAACCTCTGTGAAAAGGTCATTTGACTCCCAAAGGGGTCGTGACCCACAGGTTGAGAACCACTGGACTGGAGTTAAGTAAAGTCACAAACATCTCAGATGCATTCAAACATATATATTTCTAGATATAATTAGCTTAGATTGTATAATGTTACTTGTATGTATGTTTTCAGGGCTGACCATGTGGTATTGGATAGCCAATTGTGTACTCTTCTCTGGGGGAGACTATTTCTTCTGATCTCAGTATTCCTTGAATTTCCATTTTTCCCATAGTATAGGAGTTTGAGAGTTCTCTTCCCTTAAAAAATTATTTTGGGTACTTTAGTTTTTGTTTTGAGAATGATGTCCAAAATTAGATGGAATTTTATGGAATAAATACCTTTTAATTTTGGAAAGTTTCCAGAGATTTGAAAAAATTACAAGGGTTAGAGCTCCAACTGACAAAGACAAATTATTCTTTAAATCACTCTCCTCTGCAAAGCATTTATCACCTATTTGAAGGACAGAGCATTTACAAAGCACGTGCTCTTTACAAATAGATTAAACTATAAATTATGATCACTGCTTGTCTTAAATTTTCATCAGTAACTTTCTGTTTACTTTGACTGTAAGAGAAAATTTAAATCATAGAATCATGACGGGATTAAATTAAGTAAACTAAGATGGGAATGGAAAGAAATTCTATCCTTAACCACGAAGTGTAACTTGTTAGATGGGAGGGTGGTGGTAGCAGTGATGGTCTTGTGGTCAGTGGATGTCCTGGTTAGTTTTATGTGAACTTGACAAAAGCTAAAATCATTTGAGAAGGGGGAAAGACTTCAATTAAGAAAATTCTTCCATAAAGTCTGGCTGTGAGCAACCCTGCGGAGCACTTTCTTAATTAGTGACGGAAGGAGATGGCTCTACACATTGTAGGTGGTGCCACCCCTGGGCTAGTGGTCTCGGGTTCTACAAGAAAGGAGGCTGAGCAAGCCACAGGAAGCAAGTCAGAAAGGATCAGTCCTCCATGGTCTCTGAATCAGCTTCTGCCTCCAGGTTCCTGACCTGTTCTAGTTACTGTCCTGACTACCTTCAGTGATGACCTATAACATGGAAGTTTGAGCCAAATGATCCCTTTCCTCCCCAAATTGCTTTGGTCATGGTGTTCCATCATAGCAACAGTAACCCTAACCAAAAAAATGTGCATTGGTTTCAGTTTGGAGCTACAAGGCCCTGGCCACATCCTTCCTCCTAAAACCCTTGTTCTCTATAAACAGAGGAAAGAAAAACACCCACATATGCCATGAGACCCAAAATGAGTGTTCATGAGAAAGTTCTAGGTGAGGCTCAGGGCTCAACAACCTGATGTTACAGAGCTGTTGCTAAAGGCCACATGGTTACTAAACACATCATTTCAAATCTATTTCTTAGCTCATCTGAAAAAGCAGTTCTGTGAAGGAGCCAAAGACATTAAAGTAATTTCAAACAGTCTCAGGACTCTTTTCAGGGATATCACCAAGTGATTATATACTTGCTTTGAAGTCTTTAGCAGAGAAGGTAGAAATGTCATCGGTGCTGCCTTCTAGGGATGGCTTTATCTTAATATTTTAACAATAATTTAGTGAGGGGGGGAAATGGGAAAGTGAAGGGGGTTTTTGAGACTATAGGCTCAACCAATGCTGAGGGCTGTCACTGAAAGAAATAAAAGGACAAAACAAAACAACAGAGAATTTTATATCTGTGAAGTAAAATAATTTATATTGTAATTATTTAATAAGTTTTGAGGCTTTCAAAAACAGACAGGCATGTGTACAGTGAACTAAAGGCCCTGTTTGAGTGTGAGGAAGTATTAACTCTTCCTGACTGCAGGGTTAAATTCTGTGATTTATATTTTATAGCATGCCCAATTTACACCACATAAGAGTGCCAACACTATGAGCTTTCAGGACAGGCACTTTGACAGTGGAAAATTGCCAGTTCAAGCATCTGACCTTTGAACCCATGCAGGTGATTAGGGACATATCCAAGATAATAGTTATTTCCCCCTATTCCCTGGTCACAGCTGTCAGCAGGATGAGTCTTTTCTTGGGCCAAAGTTAATAAAAAGCCAGAGGTGGTGGAGAGAGCTTTAAGCCTATCTGACAGTGGGCAGCAATTTCAGTGACTTGGAGAAGAATAAACAGTTGATTTTATTGCTACCACTTTCAATTTGCTATGCTTAGACTTTGAGGCCACTCTGAGAAATTCCTCACTAAAATAAGGAATGCACATGTCCTCTGTTAAAAAAGTAATCAGGAACTAGCCTTTGTATCTTAGCTAACAGTTAGTATGCAGACTGCATAGTAAGCAGAAGACTGAAAGATTAAAATAAAGATAAAATAATAATAATGATGATAAAAAGGACAAATACTTAAAATGTAGTAGGGATTGCATTGGTTTGGTGAAGTGGCAGCTGTAGGTTTTCCTAAGATCCATGACTTCACTAGCCCCATGTAACTGGCTAAATTCCTGGTACCAAGCAAGATTTCATTCTTGAGAGGAACTCTGTAGCTCTTAAAATGAGGACTCAGCAAGTAATGACCCTTCAAAACAGAAAGCATTAGGCTGACATATTTAATGATAAATTCTACCAACATGCGAGGAAAAAGTTATATTGATCCTCCATAGTAATTTTGTAAAGTTAAAGAGAGAGGGACTATTTCCTAATGTATCATGCTAGGTCATCAGGACCCTGATAACAAAACTGGACAAAGACTCTACCAGAAAATGACAGGGCAGTTTCTCTCAGGAACAGAATTCCTAAATTTAAATACAAGTAACAAATCAAGTCCAAAATGTACATAAAACAAACACCATGATCAGATGGGATTTATTCCAGGTTGTGCCCGGCTGACTCAGCATTTAAAAACTAATTAATGCAATCCAAACTCAAGAAGAAAATCATATAAGTCATATTGAGAGATGACAGAATTCAACATCCGTTCATGAAAAAAAAAATCCACAACCTTGTATGTTGATGGTTCATCTTAGTTACTAACTTGATGGATCAGAAGTCAAGAGGCATGTTTCTGGTGGGTCTGCTGAGGCAATTTCAGGAAAGATGGTTGTCAAGGAGAGAAGACGCTCCCTTGGGCTGGGCAGCTCCTTCGGGTGGGTGGCCCCCACAGAAAGAGGTGCTATAAAGATGGGTATTACTTGTCTGCCTGGTGACTTTTGCTTCTTGCTGGTGAATGCATGTGTTCCAATACTGTGTTGCATCCTTCAATTGCATCAATATCTGCTTCTTTGTCCTTCAGATATGAACTGAAGATTACTGAGCTCATCACCATTACTGTAGCATCCAGCTTTGTGGATGGAGCAGCTCCTGGACTCTGAGCATCTGCAGCATGCTATCAGTCACTGGGGACTACCTAGGACTAGTAGTCATAAGCTATTCCAGTAAATGTGCTCTGATAAAATATCTGATTGTTTCTTTAATTCCCAAAGTCTTTTGGGAAGACTTTAATTCCCAAAGTCTTCAGTGTTTCAATCTCCTTGCTGAATTTGTCCTGTGTAATCGGGACTCTCTCCTCTAATTTGATGTTTTTTTTATGTTAGAAACTACCTTCTCAAAGTCTCAAATACAATCCCTTAATTGTAAAAACAACAACAAAAAAAATCCAAAAAAAATAAAACAAAAACAACAAGAAAACCCAACAAACAAACAAGAAAAAACCCTGACTCCATAAAAAGAAGTTCCCGTTGCAGTCTGCAGCTTGGCTCTGTATCAGTAAGCATCCCTAATACTGATAAAGAAAACAAGCAGGATCATGGGAAGAAGAGGGACATTTTCCCTTTACCTTGGAAAGGATAACAAAAACAATGATTGCTTTTTTGAGCCTTTAATTTATGTTTGCACTCATCCTAATACTAAGAGGCACATATGTCTTACATGCTACAGGTGCAAGAATTGACTCTGTGAGATATTAATAACTTCAATTTCTCCTACATACACAAAGATCCAAGGTTAACCATGACAGGGCCAGGTAGTTATATTTTTCCACAGGAAGCAAACTGCGATCTTTTCAAAATATAAATGCTCTATTTTGACGTGAGCCCTTTCCTCTGAGGACTTTCAGATCAAAACAATAGCACAACACAGAAAGTCCTGGGTCTGCACTTAGTGACCAGTGACATTGTAATTAACTAGATACGCCAATATTTCCTCTTTATGCTAGTTCCCTTTTAGTTTCTTATTTATGGTTTGAGGGGATAATGTGACATTTTCTTTTTGTTTTTCTCTTCTGGATGCTCGCCAAATTTTAAGTGCGAAAAAAAATCAGGAAATGAAAAGAAAAGGAGATCCAAACTTGGATAGCCCCATCTTTAATACAAATGGAGGGATGGATATGCCATCTCTGAATTTGTGGCATGTTCCTTCCCCAATAGGAGGATGAAAAATTCACAAAGGTAAAGTCACATCTGGAATCTCAATTTAAAAGCAGTACTGATGAAGTAGCAAACTATATATGAATTTATATGGAATATGAGAAAACACTAAATATACAAATGAATATACTCTTCAATTCTACTTTGAAATAAAAAAAAACTGATTCTCTTATTTTCCCAATGATGTCTACCATAACTAATTCAAAGAACATCTCTCCAGTGTTGCTAACACTTCCTTGCTTTGCTAACTGCATTGCAGAAATTGGTCTTGGGGATTCTGAACTGGAAATGATGAGCCTGCATTTCTTCTGTCAGTGGCTTAAGGGGTTAAACACTCACTCATAGTGCACAAAAGTCAGTTTATTCTAGAGGTTCAGGAAAGGATTAAGGGCACTTAGAAATCTGAAGCATCCCACACATTTTTTCCTAACATTCTGCTATCTTTAAATGATTAGAGCTGCAGTTTATTACATTGATTACCAATAGTATGAAGTCTATCAAATTTGACACATCTCTCAAATAAGTAGCAGTCACATGTTAGGTCTGGCCTTTAATTTAATGACAGACTTTAAAGTGAATGTCTGAGGTTTAACCTAATCACATTGTTAAACAAAATGTCCAGCATTTATTTATCTGTGATTTGAGTTTTTTTGTTGCTATATGTAACAGTTCACGTAACACACAGACACACTTCTATTCAGAGGACATTTGATGACTGATGAGACACTGGCCATTAACATGACTAAAATGGTAAGAGTTCTCTTAGAGCTTGAAATTTATTTAACTGTATAAAGAGGAGTGATGATGCCTCCATATGGGAATGGACATCATTCATATCAGTCAGAAACACAACAGAACATTTCATATGGACAATGGATACAAAGCATCATGCGATATGGTAAGGCCTTATCATTCTTGTACAACAAATAATTCTGTCCACTATAATTAGTCATCACAAGAAAGCCTCTTTCACAGGTAAAATATGAATAACAATGGTGTCTGCTTTACAGATGCAGTGTGAACCGCCAATGTATGGTCATCATGCTTGGCTACTTTCACATTTTCCAGCTGTGCCTCCCTGCCAGGAAACTCCACTCAGATCGGAATGGACATGTTTGTAGGATGAGATTAAGATTATAGGTTTGAGCTCACTTTATCTTTTAAATCTCTCCCTTCATAAAACAGAGTTTTTGAATTTTTAGAGGGATTAACTCCGACATAGTAAAAGCCTAAAATTATGTTACAGGTTGGTACCAGGTATAGATATTCTGTCATAAAAAGTTATCGCTTATAAGATATTATTTTAAAGCCTTTCAAAACATGCAAAATATGGGACTCCATGTCCCCTTGTGCTGGCAATGTAGACACTGTGAACTCATACAGAGTGCCATCAGCCTGATGTGGAGGATGTGTCGATCTTATAGAAATTATGTGCATCTGAATCTTGACTAATATGGAGAGGGTGACTTGTACTTACTGATCATCTTCATCAGCTTAACCAGATATTCGGTAAAATCACCGTCAGAAGATTTTTAAGGTCTGTCTTGGATGGTGTACCTTATGATTTCAATCATTTTTGAATTTAAACTTATCTAAAGTGTCTTAAATGCATTTGTAGTATTTTGTCTAATCAGTGTTTTCGTTAAGGTCAACGTAATGATGTTTCCACATCTTAATTAGGTCCTTACACGGAATAAAGTTATTCAATTAGAATAGAGGGAGACAACGTCACTTCAGTGGAGTTTTCTATCTGGTCAGATCAGACATTCACAGTCATTCACAGTCCCTGAAAATATGTAACTTCGTTTTAACTAATCTCCATCAACTTCAAACAAAAAGTTTAAGATGTCTTTCATTTAGGCAGTGTGTGCTTAAGAAACAAATCTACCCATGCAGAAAGCAATGACACTAGCAAAAGTAACGGCATTCAAAATGCCGACTGAGAAAGATTAGGAGACACAAGCACATCTCAGGCCACACCCCTGATGTTAGTCCTATAGTCACTGCAAAGTGAAACAAAACATGATATGCCAAATTTGATGCTGTGTCTGTATTATTATAGAAATTATGACCACAGCAGGGGTAAGCACAATCAGCACGTTGGAGTTATCCAAGTCGGAGGTGGTGAAGAGCAAGGACCGTTTTGGGCAACTTACTTGGATTTCTTCATGTAGAGCCAGTAGACAACACCAGCCACGAGTGCAGCGAGTAGGAGACCAACTACAATTCCCACAATTAGTTTAGCCTGGTCATTCACCTTTTCTCTGTTTTCATCTATAAGAAAGAAGAAAAGTCCGTGCAATTACAGCCAGTGCTAAAGAGTTTGAAATGAAGTTGGTGTTGTTCTAACTTATTAATGATGACTAAGGCTTACTATCATGATTTACATGCAAGCTTGTGATTTTAAAGGGTGAAAAGCTTAGAACTTTGGCTATCTTGTCTCATTGGAGATTGTAATTCAAGTCAAATTTGGACAGCTAAGAAAATCACTCATACAGGGACACTTCATAGGTCTTGAGCTGATAGTCAAGGAAGGAGAGTCGAGTCTGCAGTATAGTACCTACCACTTATATCGTCTGCCTCATCGTGTTCTGGAATACTTACTGAAATGAAAAATGTTAATATGAAATTAAAAACAAAATTTGTTGATAAATGAAAGCCACCCTTACCATTATAGTATGATGTAATAATACTTAGATAAAACAGCTATTCTAGAACTAAAGGTAAAGAAAAGGAAAATCATACTTGATAGAGCAAGAACTTTCCTACAAGGGAATTAATCTTGTTTTAAGGAAAGTAGTTAAAAATGCAAATGTTTGAATCTATTTGAGAAAATTTACAACCAACAAGTTAGGGTATTTATCTAAAATGTATATTAATTTCCTATTGTCTACTAGAACATCTTTTTAGGAGAAACAAGTGGGCCCCTATGAAGTCTACATGTCGTGTCTCCCAACTCTGCTCAACTTTTTCTGCCCCTGCTTAGCAGAATTCATCTTCATTTTCTAGGATCAAGGACACTACTATTAATTACATTCTCAAAGAAGGAGTTGGGGTGGAGGTTATAACTGGAGTGCTCAAGACATTACACAGCACCCTACCCTATCTGATCTTTGCTAGATTTGCAAGTTCTTGATTGTGCTATGATCTTAGTACAGTTAAAACTCAGTGCTCTTGTGGATTATCATTAAATTACATAAATATTCTTCAGAGTGCATGAGTCTGCTTCAGAACTCCCTATGATGTTAGAGACAATTCAGGGTCTTAGATTCCTCATCTTAAGTACTCAGGGAGTACAAAGTTTGAAATGATTGTTTCAAATACTGAGAAAAAGCTAAAGTATCTCTTTCAACACATTAGTGCTAACAATATCTTTTTAGTTAAAAAGTGCAAAAGGATAGGTTCTCTCTAGATAGTACAAATCAATACTCACAGAATTGCATTGTGAGAAGTCAATGACTATATTTTAATTTTGTTTAGTTTTACTCTCCAGCTAATCCACTGGGCCTTTATATTTCTAGTCCATCTGTTAGGGACCATTATCTTTTAAAATTGTTTTGTCCTACAAATTCCTATTTATTATATTCATAACATACTAATGCAAGGATTCCAACTGATCAAGAAATAAACATTTGGCAGCAGGTCAGCTAACATCCTGTCTAAAAGTGAACTTTACTCTACGCCAGTACTGATTTGAGGTTGCCATGGTAACAGCAACAGGAATAGTAATAGAAATGAAAATGGCTTCTAATTTCCCAATAAATCATATTTTTCAAAATGTTTTTCTTCCTCAAAAATATATATACTAAGATTTCAATACTGACAGATTCTGCAATTTTACCTAAGATAATTTCATTTATTTCCATTGTGATTCAGAACTGATGAGAGAAGGGAAACTTTTCCAAGCCGAGTTCATTAATTCTCACATCATTTTTTACTGCACTAATTTGTTAATTGGTTATATTTATGGCATTTCTATATAAGGTAAGGGTGGGATAAAAATACAATAAAATGTATTGCCAACTAATCGCAGAATTAAAAATTTATCAAATGTGTAATTTTTAAAAGTCCTTAAGATAATCATTGAACTATCTGGCTTTGTATCCACAGCATG